TACATATAACAACAGTGACTATTGGTGTTTTCTTAAAAACTTTGAAAATTTTTAGAATTTTTATTTGTGATTTTAGAATATCTATTGGTATTTTCATGAAAAATGATTAATTTTTATAATATGAAAAAAGGATATTCAAATATAAGGTGTATTCTATGTAAAATTTTCAAACTAAGATTTTTTTTTTAGAATATACAAAAAGCATATTTGAATATAAGTGCATTCCATGTAAAGTTTCGACACCAAGAATGTATTTTTAGAATATGCTTTTACAAGGTGCATTTTATGTAAAATTTTGACACTAAGACTTTTTTTTTTTCATAATATGCATAAATGATATTGGAATATGAAAGAAAATTGTATTTCGTTAAAGATCAGTCTCATATCGTAATGGATATTCAAATAAACATAAGTGATATTCAAATATATCAAAGAAAATTATATTTTGTTAAAGATCAATTGCATATCATAGAAGAAATATTATATATGCTTTCAAAGGTATATATAAAAAAATTAATAAGGGATATTCAAATATGCATAGGTGATATTTTAATATGTGAAAAAAAATTACATTTTATTAAAGATTAATTGCATATTGTGGAAGAAATATTTCATATACTTCATTAAAGATGATTTGCATATCACAAACGAAACATTGCATGTAACATGTTGACACTGGAGGACCTCATGTTTTAAGGCTCAATAAATTGCCATTGAAAGACCTTATTTGATATGTTGACCAATTACATATTGAGATTCAACTTTTGAAACGAAGGACCTGTGATGTATTGCAAGGAAGGACCTTTTGCAATATATTGAAAATAAATGATCTTGCCCAATTATTGATAGAGAATGACTTCATTTCAAAAACATTCCCAATACCTTCTTAGCAATTAGATTTCTGGTCATGTCTTTTTTAGCAATTTTCTCAATTAAATAAGAGAGAAATTCAGAAAGAAAGACAAAGAGGAGATAAGGAAAAGCTTTTTTAAATTTCGATACTTAAATACAAATTAAATGAGATGCCATGTATTTAATGGCATTTGTTTATAGTCCCAATCTAATTAAAATCTACAAATTGATGATCAGAGAAAATATTATAGAATAATGAAAATAAGATGTCGAGGGGTGATGGACCTTATTTGATTTTATTTATATATATTCATAACAATATCGATATATATATATATATATATATCAATTTTAATGCGTGTGTGTTATTTGACCAAAAAAATGTGTGTTGAAATCCATACTAAGTTGTCCTCTTCATAATGATCTCTTAATAATATAACTTTTTTTAATTAAAAAGACATCCAAAACAAGGAGATTAGGCATATGTCTGAAATTATATATACAATCACCCTTCTTTCTCAATGATTGCTTGGGTATTTTTGGAATATTTGATCATGATATATTATACATACCATATGGAATTTTGTATACACGAAGAAGAGAGAAGTGCATCCTTTTTCTTTATTTATACTATACAAAACTGGCCTTCTGGTTTATGGTAGTTTAATTTCTCCTCCCAAGAAAACCTCATATAATCCTCATGATTTTTTTTTTTAAAACAACATTTGCCATAAACGAGGGTACCCTACAAGGCACATGGTTATTAAATCCCTTATAGTTTCATGGTTTGCAATTGTTGTTTCTATGAGCATATTGTTGTTTTCAATGATAGAAAAACACAAACACTAAGGATTCCCCAGAACAGCCTTTTTCGTGAAACTCCAAATCACTCACTGCCTCCAAAAATAAATATGTCGCTTTACGAGTTGCATGTACCTCAAGTTTAGGAATCATGCATCCTCAAAATTCTCGTACACATGTATTAATATTGCTCCTCACTTCCTTAACTTTTGCTGTTTTCATTATTTGCTCCCCTTCAGATTCTTCTCATTCTCTTCTTTGGCTGAGTCATGTTAGTACCCCAATAATCATTTGGTGAGAAACCCAAGAGCGTGATGATGATAATTAAAAAAAAGTGTTTCAGCTTTTGTTAGTTTAATAGTAAGATTCCATTTTTCTACGCCTGAAACAGTGAAAGCCAGGTATATAGCTTCAGACAAAGCTTTCACCAACACATGCGCCCAAACTTTTCTGGGATTTGTAAGGGAACGTACGCATGGTAAGGCAAACAATTTTTGGATCCCTTGGATTGTTTTAGACGAAATGATTATTAATTATTTCTAGCACATTCAATTTTTTTAAAAGAATGATTTTAGTTAATCTACCCAATTTTTTGACCTAGTTAATCTACACATGAGGGTAAAAATTAGCTTATCAAAATAAGGATTTGTATTTGAACTATATCCTCCATTTGAATGCATAAAAATCTTTGATCCAAATCCAAAATTTATGTTTTATTACAACTTTTTTGTAATTTTAAATTTCCTATAAACCTTAGTTATTTAAAATTCCACCAACTTCAGCCCTCTAATTTTTTTTTCCCCACATTTTCACTATCAGTGCATCTGAAGTCTCGTCACTCCTCTTATTTATTGTTCTTGTCTCACCGATTGAAGAATAGATGTAAGCTCGTTACTTTCAATCTTTTATTTTTATTTTTAATTTTAGCTCGCCTCCTTTTTACTTTTAACATTTTTTTTATCATTCAAATAAGGAATTTTAAATACTCACATGGATTTTAAATTTAAATCCATCCATGCAGACACTGCCTAAAATCACTTCCCCCCACCCCCAACCCCACCACCATTTTGAACAAACACTTCATAACTGGGCCCTTTCATCATTCTGAAATCACATGTTTCCAGTTCATCACTGTTGCCATGGAAGAGAGCTTGCTTTTTCATGAGCTTTTAATTTTATGCAAGAATACAAAATCGTCCCTGTATATAATATACGTACGGGGAAAAGTAGAGATCAAGCTGGCTGGAATGATTTTTATCCTCTTCTACAATTCAATTATTATAACTTTAATAGATAACATGAAGGACAATTGGTGCATTATACAACACTATATGCTCCCTTCAAGTATATATATATATATATACACAAAGGATAATTGACTAAAAAAAGAATAAAGCGTGAGAAAAAAAATACATATTGAACAGGATTATTGCAATGAGAGAAAATTATAAATATAGAAAGAGCTATAAATTTAATGTCAATAATTTTGAGTCAATTGAAGAGTGTCAAACTTACTTTTCACAATAATACAATCATTAAAATAAAAAGTCATCATTATTTAAGATTAATGGTGTTAGGATTTTGAAAAGATATTTTATAAAATTAAAAATATGAAACTAAAACTTTTGCCAAAAAAAAATCTGAAACTTGTAAAACTTTGTTTAAAGTTACATGTGCACTTTGTCAAACTTATTTTTACATCCCCAAAATTAAATTAAAAGACTAACCTCCCCCCCTCCCTCTCTCCACAAATTTCATTCGCCCCGCCGCATTAGCACTTTGACTGAGCTTAAGTATATTTTTCTTAGCAACATCCGGCATCAAGTAATTCCTGACTAGCTATTTTAAGTTTGAGATTGAGTTTAATAGTTTAGTTCAAAAAAGATGGAGACTCATGACAAATGTGGATTTATGAAATTAGGGTTTTAATAGGCGGGACATTATAAAATACACACACGCACAGAGAGTAGTATACTAGTGGTCAATTTGGAGTGGGGACACGGTTATTTAAATTTGGAGGGCGAAAAGGGAACAAAGCAAAAGTACATCACGAGACGGTGCACAGCATAGCTTCTCAGAGGAAGAAAAGGCCATTTATAATTTATAGGACGCTCCCATAGAGCGTGCCACTCACGTGACGTACCTTTATTTACATTGAAACATTCAAACTCTACCCTTTGTCCAACCACACATGTTATCTGTGTGTGTGTGTGTGTCTGCCGTGGACGACGGAGCATGATTGCAGAATGGTTAGAGAAATGTATAGTATTCCCTAGAGAGTAAGAAGCATGCCAACAACTTCTTCTGCTGATGTATATGTGTGCGCTAGCTTGTGTGGAACAGCATGATAAATGTAGATAATTAGCTGTGAGCAGTAATTTTTGACCAACGATTCGTATCTTTGGTCGCTTCCTATATAAAATTTCCAGGTGGCGTCCTCTAAATTCATATATTATATATTGATGATTGTGAGTTGTGACAAAAACAGCCAACGAAACCTAATCAGAATTTTCTAATTTATTGCATTCTTTCATACTTGCCCTGATTCGTATCGTTGGTTTGCATGTCGATTGTGGGATAATAGAGTCTTGTTTATAGAGTTATAGTCACATCATTTAATTAATAACACAGTTATAAACAAACCAGCAGTACTTTATATTATCAGGTAGACTCCAGAATTTCTCGGTAATTGAAAAGAAATTTTAAATGGATGGGAATGTGTGGCAGCTAGACACCAAGATTACAGGTTTATTTTGTCATATTTTCATTCCTCTCACACTAGCTGCAAAAAATTAGTCCTGATACTGTTTTGAGATAGTCACATCATCCAATGTTACGATGATTGGACAGGCAATTGTTTTAGTCCAATAGACAAGATGGTTAAAGCCACAAGAATGACGCGACTTCCTGGTAAATTATTCGAATGTGTGCTCAGGCAAAACTTTTTAGTCTACTGGGGTTATGTATAAAAAAGGGAAGATCCAAATGAGAATGAATAGCAAATCCAATTGAAGAGTTAAACAAAATGAGGCGTCTGTATATGTAAAAGTTTGAGTGAAGTATGTTGAAGGATCAAAAGTAGAAGTTGTGAGGATTATATTTATGGATTGATATCATATATGAAAGGAGCTATCCCGTGAGCTAGTACGCGAAAAGCTTAACCGCTGCAAATTCTCTCAGACTGCTCACCATTACAAGACAAAATCCCAACTCCCACATACAGACAAATTGGTGGCCGGCTGCTCCACGTGCCTCCAAATTCATCTCTCTCGTTGCTCCGTCACCACCCAAACTCAGAAATATTAACACTAGTAGGATCTTCCTCTTTCTTACACCCTTTTGTAGCCATGAAATATGTTATTCCTTGCTTCATCTTTCGGCTGTTTTCCCCTCCTGTTAAAGCCTGAATTTCCCCTCAACCAGGCCTCTCTTTTCCACTTCACATCAGGTTTTGCCCCTGATCTCTTCCTGCTTCTCATCAGACTCTTTTTCAAAAGCACCATATGTATATGTATATACACGTCCTCGCCATAAAGCTGAAATGTCCATTTTCTCATTCACAGATATTTCTCCCCTACTTCACTGCTAATTTCACCTCGTTTGGATCGTTTCCCAGTGGCCAAGCCAGCCCACCTCTCCCCACTCTCCACTGCTAGTCAGGTCACTTTCTCTTTTTCTGCTCCTCTCTGAATTTTCTCTGATTCCTTATTTTTGTATTACCTTTTCTTCCCCTTCGTCCCTTTTACTTAATTTCTTCTCATATCTCTCCTTTTTATTTTCTTGTCCCTGTCTCTCTCAGGTCTCAACCTAGCTATACCACACTTAGCGTCCAAGTTTCCATGACGCAGTTCACACCAACGCTACCACCTTTGCACCATGTCACGCCCCTTTCGAACTCAATCAGCAATAACAACAACATTCAAGTTCCTAGGACGACGAATTCATGGCCGAAATTCCAACAATCCAAGGCACTAGTTGGCTTTGGCGATGCTAATTGCATGGAACAGTTGCTTATTCACTGCGCCGACGCCATGGAAGCCAATGACGTCACTCTCGCCCAGCAAATCCTCTGGGTTCTGAACAACATCGCACCTCCCGACGGCGACTCAAATCAGCGTCTCGCGGCCACCTTCTTGAGCGCCCTCACCTCACGCGCCGCCAAATCTGGGAGCTCCAAAATGTTAGCCGCCGTCACAAGCGCCCGCAACACCGGTCTCGCCATTCAAACGCACCGCTTCTCCATCATCGAGCTTGCCAACTTCGTTGATGTCACCCCCTGGCATCGTTTCGGCTTCACAGCAGCTAATTTGGCCATTCTAGAAGCCACGGAAGGTTTCTCCACCATTCACATCGTTGACCTCAGCTCAACACACTGCATGCAGATTCCCACCCTAATTGACGCCATCGCTTCTCGCCATGACGTCCCTCCTCTGATCAAGCTGACGGTAGTGGGTGCTTCTAGAAACATCCCACCTATAATCGACCTTTCCTATGACGAACTGGGTTCAAAGCTGGTCAATTTCGCAAAGTCCAAAAACGTCGTGATGGATTTTAGAGTGATTTCTTCTACTCACGCAGATGGATTCGCTGCTTTGATCCAATATCTTGGCGTGCAGCGTCTCGTGACGGAAGCTCTGGTGATAAACTGTCACATGATGCTTCATTGTATTCCTGACGAAACCCTATCCGCCACTTCCACTTCATCCCTGAGATCACTGTTCCTGAAGGCTTTGCGGAGTTTGAACCCAACGCTTGTCGTTTTGGTGGAGGAGGACGCGGATTTGACACCGATGGATTTGGTGTGCAGGCTGAGGGCTGCGTTTAATTATATGTGGATACCGTACGACACGATGGACACGTTTCTTCAACGAGGAAGCGAGCAAAGGCAATGGTACGAAGCGGATATGTGTTGGAAGATTGAGAACGTGATGGCGCATGAAGGGGTTGAGAGAGTTGAGAGGCTGGAGAGTAAGAGCAGGTGGGAGCAGCGAATGAGAGATGCGGAGTTCCAGGGTATTAGCTTCAGCGACGACGCCGTTTCGGAGGTGAAGGCCATGCTGGACGAGCATGCAGCTGCGTGGGGATTGAAGAAGGAAGAGCAGCATCTTTTGCTAACGTGGAAAGGACATAATGTCGTCTTTGCCTCTGCTTGGTTTCTTGCTTGAATTAATGAACCTTTTTCTCACTCTGTACTCTAATCAATTCACGTCAACTTCGTCACATGATTCTCGTTTCTTCACTGATATGTACATTATTCATCCTTATATATTCTGCTGCATTTTAAAGGAGTGATTGAAGGGACGAAGCTTTATTTTATATATATATACATATATATATATATATATATATAATCCAAAATACTAAAAACCAGGAGGGGTATTGAATCAAGACACTAATTGATCATAAACCAGTTATTATACTTTATTAAACGGGTTAAGACATTAATTTAATGATTTAATAGTTCAGACGTATATTTCTATACTATGATAAAATCACACTAATACAAAGGCAAGCTTAGAGTGGTGTAATTAGTGAAACTCTTAGTCTAACCATCGCCGTTTGGATTTTAACTAGAGATGAATATTGCTTGAAGTCAGGCTACGAGGAGAATAAGTTGGCTAGTTATTAATTAGTTATAAACTCTAATTTTTTTTTCATCTTAATTATATATTCTTATTGTGACTTTTATTTTAAGATATATGTAAAGTCAGTGGTGAAGGCGGGACCAGTAGGAGCTATGATCCCCCTAATTTTTTAATTTTTTTTTTGTATTACATGCTTCCGGCCCTGTTAAAACTTATGAAAATTTTGTAATATACATATTTTTTATTCTCGACCCCTTTATTTTTAAAACTTGGCTCTGCCCTTGTGTAAAAAGTATTGAATATAGTTGGACAAATGAAGAGTATAGTACATTAGAATTAAGCCAAAAAAGTAAAATTGTCTTGTTTTAATTACAAAAATCATTAATAAAAACGTGCGTTATGAAAGATATTTATTTTACATTTATGATATTCGTGTATTAGTTTTAATTGTTAATTAGTTTGTCATTCAAGAGCGATTATTTCTTGTCCCATTTCAGTTTACTCTATAATCTATATTGATCTTAATTAATTAAAGATAGACTCTAAAACCTTAACTCATTTAAATATCCTAACTATTGCGTTTTGTAAAACCAATTGAAAACAATGATTATAAGATAACTACTTCCCAGCAAGCCAAGGTTATGATAAATATGATTACTCTCTCCCTCTCTCCCTCTCTCTCTCTCTCTCACACACACACACACACACACTCACTCTTTAGCCTGATTTCTTAAATGTCATTAAAATTTCAACAATAATTTAAAAAAGGTAACTAGAATCTCCCTTAACAACAATTAGAATAATGACTAGAATGTTGTATCAATATAATTGTATGTTTTGAAAAATAAAATGGGAAACAACTACTTGAAAATGAGGACAACCTGATGTGGTATATTAATCTCAACCTTGTCTAATTTAGAAGGAAGAATTTTAATAAAGACTCATTAACTACACTTATTGAAATTTAAAACCTCTAAGTTTCTGAAATTTCATTACAATTTAGGGATACTGATTTGATATTAAATTTTTGAGGAAAGTAACAAAATTGCTCTTCATTTAAATTAATATTAAAATTATCCTATTGTACTTGTTCATTTACAAACTTATGAAATATTATTAATATTAAATTACCTTACTTCACTTATTCATTTCACTAGAATGAAATCAAATAAAAGTTTGATAATGAACAACAGTCCGTAAGTAAATGAATAACATATAGTATAAAAATTAATAAATTATCTTAAGATGATTTAAACACCTAAATTGAAAACAAAAACAAATTAAGTAACGCAATTAACACTATTATGTAAATAAATTAAAGAGTGAAGTAAGACAATGAACAAGTGAAGGAGAGAAATTTTGACATTAATTTAAATGAGAAACAATTTTGTCATTTATTTCAAAAATTTAATATCAAATTAATACCCTTAAACTGCAGTATAATTTCAAAAATTTAAGAATTTTGACTTTAAATAAGTGTGATTAAGGGGTCTTTATTGAAATTGTCCCAACATAAAACTTCCTCGTAAGATCAAATCCACTCACAGTCTTAGTTAAGACGTAGTTGCTCCGAATTTAATTAGTAAAATTAGACACACACTCACACACATATATAGTACCTGCATCCAATACAGAGTAATTTAGACGAGATTCTCACGGAAGTTCAATTTGCACTGATAATGATATAGCCTAGCCGGGTAGATGAAAGAATGACGAAGGCTTTAAGTACATTGTACTCTTGGCTGGAAAAGGCATAACTACGTGCTAAATATGAGTGCCTGTTTGGATTGCCTAGTTAATCGATTATTCTCCAAAAATCGATTATTTAAAAAAAAATTACCCAAACAGCTAATAATTAAATTGGGTAATCTATTTTATGGAAAAATTGATTTTTTCCAAGCCATGAGAGTCAGCTTCTGCATTCAAATTTTACAAGAAACAAGTGGGAAAATTATAAGAAAGGCTTAAGAAAAAAATTATAAGAAAGGTACAAAATTTAATAAAAATAAAACCAAACTTTTTTCTCTTCTATTTTTTTTTGATAAAATTTAAACTTTAAATCCTTAAAAAATTACTAATATAAGTTTCTGTCAACCACTACCCTCCTCTTAGCACTTACAATAAAACTAATTTAAATAAAATATTAATTTATAGAGAAAAATTAATTTAATTTAATTTAAAATTAAGAGTTATTATAAAGATTGTCGCAAAGGTTTATTAGAGAGAGAGAGAGATATTTTGCATCAGTTGTTACATTGTTACATTTTTTATGTTATCAAAATTTTCAGATAGTGTTTAACATCTTCATCAGATATGACTTACTCATGATGTCATTAGAGATCAAATTGCATATTATTTATCTTCATTAGTTTTTGTAAAATTGATATTTGATATTTAAGAATTAAATATTTCTATTTTATTAAATTTATTTAAACTAAGATATATTGAGTTATTTATTTATGTAAACTAAAATTTTTAATATTACTATAATTTAAATTTTTATAATTAATCAGATATATAATTTTTATAATTGTATATATTATTTAAAAAAGTTAATATTATATATAAATTTATCAATAATTTAATTTTGAAAAGCAATGTCCTTTATGGTAATTTATACAACTAAAATTGATTCTGAATAAATTATTTAAACATGTTCAATTATGTTAAAATTAATTTTAAAAAAATAATATTTAAAGAGATTGTGTTATAACATAATTAATTATAATTAAAATTAATTATTTAATTAATTATTTTTATAATTAATTATACCTAACTGAAATTCAAATGGGCCTTAGGTGCTCCTTTCGTTTAAAATTAACTTAATGTGCTTTCATATTCTTTTTTCATGTTTACAAATATAAGATATTTTGGCATCGTTTAAGATGAATATTGACATTAATGAGAGTTTTCATTATATTTATTTGTAATTAAGTTATCCTTTTAAATAAAAATAAATATAAAAAGATGGGTACTTTTTAATGATCATGATAATAACTATTCTCTTGAAAGCGAAGGTTAGTTAAAAATATTTTAAAATTTTAAATAAAGAAACCAACTCATTCAAAATTAAAGGATGTCTAGAATTTATGCAAGTGATTCAAAAATATTGGCGCAGAAGTCCGTACATAGTGGTATTGAATTAATGCTGATGAGCAAATGCTTGGATGGGAATGTGGCTGATGGTACCTTAACATGAATGATAATAATGGTGAGGAAGAGAGCATGTCCTGGTAGATACAGTGGTAAGAGCAGTCCTTGCTCTCACTTGATGACGCAACTAGATTTATGTACGAGATGTCTCCGTTGACTATTGTCCCATCATTATAGCCTATATATATATATTGTAGCTTTACTGCCTTCTCTGTGGAGTGTGTAAATTAATAACCGTCACTTTTACAGTTTATGTCTCATTTAGTGCAACTGTTTTTTTGGGTAGGATGAGTGAGACTTTTTACTTATTGCTTTGACTTTGTAATATTTCTCCATTTTTATATATAAAAATTTTTTTAAAATATTTTTATTTTTAAATATAAAAAGTTGTAAAGATATTTTTAATAAATAAATTATTATATCTTTATTAAATTAAAAGAGATAAATATTTTAATTAATTTATTTTGAAAAAAGATTTATTTTTTTTACAATAATTAAGAATAAAATTGTAATGTGGTTGTGTTTTTAATTAGATAATCAATTTTTATTGATTTGTGTGATGTAATTAAAAATATTTTATATGTAGAGATAGAAGGGAGTATTTCTTAACTTTCTTTCAACTAAAAAATGCCACTTGGTTAAGCCTTTTATAGAAAAATAACTATTTCTTGAAAAATTTTATACCACTTTTTAAACTCTAATATATAATTGGAATCTGAAAATAATTCTAATTATTTTTAAAAATGCTTTACTTATGAAAATAATTATATGAAGAAAATAAGAATAAAAATATACAATTTTAAATATATCATTAAAATTTGAAAAGAAATAATGAATCAATTTTTATATTTGAAAAATTTCTAACTAATAATTACTTTTTGATTATTGTAACCTGTCGCACCCGAAAAAATGCGACATGGATGGTGCGCAAGCGGAGATCCTAGCTTTCACGACGAGAACCGGATCAAACGAGGAGTCGCCACTAAGATTTTGAGAAAAATCTTGAGAAACCGATTAAAGGAGGATAAGGATGGTTTGCGAAAATAAAGAATAAGTTTGGGAGTCGGTTGAGTGTGGGAAAGGTGTTAGGCACCCTACAATACCTGTTCGTCAGAACGGTTACTTGAAATTTGTTATGCTATATTAATATAGTTTTAAAATTATTTTAATTATTTCTTTTATATTCATGTGTTTGATATAAAAATGATGAGAATTAATTAATAAATATTTATTTATTTACGAGGGAGGACTGGACTCAGAATCCAACTCTAAAGCCTATATACCTTGTGATGGGGATTAAAGTCCACGTAGTTTAGGCTTGAAAGTTGTTGGCAAAAATATTTTTTTATAAGAGAAATTAATTAAAAATAATTCACCATTTTGCAAATAAAATATTTTCTAAAATTTTGATATGTGTGTTTTAATTGCAAAAAGTAATTTAATTTTAATTATTTTCTCAATTTTTGAATTGTTGGAATAAAG